TTTGAATAAGATACCGGTGGGTAATAAGCAGTCAGGTTTATACAAAGAATATTTTTTATAAAAGAAAAATAATAAATGAAATATGATTAATAAAAAAACAATTCAATTTAATTAAGAAGTATTCATTTCAATTATTATTCAAGTACATATTAAAAAAATTTACTTGATTCAAGAACTAAAAAATTATTAGTGATGAATATTTTATAAAAATTCAATTATAAAAAATTATAATTTATAGAGATAATATATTTCTCTGTACCATTAATGAAAATTTTAATTAATTGAGAAGACAAATATTAATGTTTATTATTTAATTAATTAATATTAATATTAATTAAAAAAGCTCTCAAGTTTTATAATAAAAAAAGTTATTTAATATTTTGAAATATTTCTTATATTAAAAATATAGTTTATAACTGTACTAAAATAATTAGATATCTGATTTTGTTTATTATTTAAAAAAATTATAAGTGAAAAACTATAAAAAACAAATAAATTCGCGTTAATATCACTCATGATTTATTAACGATTATGTAACAAAAAAATGATGAAATAAAACAACCAGAAAGCAGAGTGATCTGAGCGATAAACAATTAAAAAATCAAAACTATCTACACGCAAAATAAATAACCTAGCATATATATTTACAATGTATATAAATATTATAGATAGACATGTTTATAAAGATATATTTATATGTAATGTAGGTTTATGTGATGAAGGTGTGGTCTCCCTGATTTAAAAAAAGTATTGAACCATGCAACTGTATATCTGTATCTATATTGTATGTATATATAGATATACAGTGTGTGAAAAGTATTGAAAAAGTATTGAATTACATACTTTTTCAATACTTTTCAATACTTTTTTTTAATCAGGGCTGTGACGAAGAACGCATGATCCATCTGATATACTCAGCTGTTACGTGGTATTATCTCTGTAATACTGATACTAAAATACATAAAGACCAGAAGTAAGAACTAAGAAATAATAAAAAGTCAAAAAACAAAATATAAAATAAAACAACTTAATGTTTTCCGAGCCAGGGCTCTAAAAATAGACGGATATAAAATAAATCGAGATGACAGGAGGATAAAAAATCACCAACGCTGATACTATTAAAAATACATATGTACGAAAAAATAGAGCAACCACGAGAAATATAAAAAGTGGACGTATGTCAGACGTAGGATAAAAAAATAAAAATTTCTTTGAGCGTTCATTCATGATATGAAGAATACTATTATATATAAAGCGTGTACACGTGCTGGTGGTTATTTATCTATCTACGGCTTAATTCAAAAAGTGACGAAGAAAAGCAAGCCCTTGGTAGTGTCCTTGGACCTGAGAACGAGAAGAAAACAGAGAAAAAAAAATAATAACAAACAAAAAGGAGTAGAGGTTGATGGTGAATCGAGGCCCGATTTTTATTTTAAGTTCACATCACATGTGAGTATGGACGGAGTTGATACGATACGAGGAGTATTTAGAATCCCTACTATACTATACTCTACTCTCTGCGAAAACAACAACAAACCTCTCGACCGGTTTCGTTTGGGTTCTTTTTTTAGCCCTAGTACTCAATGCTCACATCTCACATCTCACATGTGAATATGAAGCCTCTGCTCGTGTATGGTTGCAGAGTGTGGAGTTCAGTCTGAGAAAGATAAAAAATACGGGAATAAGAATAAGGATGAAAATAAAAATAAAGAGAAATAAAACGATAACAAGCTGCTTCTGAGGAATGTATGTATAGTATACTATACCACATATGGGCTGTTTGGTTCACATCAACTCAATCTATTCGACGGTAAAAATTATATTATATGCGATAGATAGTAGAAACTATCATGATCTACGACCTACCGTATATTATGTGAAGTTTTTAGTAGTTAACTATTGCTTGGATTTTTATACTGCGTCGTAGATCTCAAAAGATAGATCGAATAGGATCGAGTTTCAAAGACGCACCGAGCTCACTTCTGATTGTGTCAGATTCTTATTTATTATTATTTTATATAGGTATAAATAACATAAGATTTTTATTGAAACAATATTATAATAATAGTTGATTTAGCTTCCCGGGGAAAACGGTTTAGATCTGACCAGATATAATTATATCTGGTCAGATCTGATTATATCTGGTCAGATTTATTTATATCTGATCAGACATGGGATTGGAGACATAATCAGATCTAGTTATATCTGATCAGATCTAAACAGATATAACTATATCTGAGTTGAAAAATTCATCAGACATGATCAGATCTAGTCATATTTGATCAGATATAAACAGATATAACTATTGGGAAACTGAGGATTTAAATACGCCGCCTGGTGGTTTAAATTCAAACTAACGATTGTAGGATAGAATCATGTTTAACACAATGTTAATATCAATAAAATAGCAAAATACAGTGTAATTTTTATTAAAAAAAAAAAATAAGCAATACAAAAAGTGAATTTCGTAATCATACATTTATAAAAAATTAATATACGTACATCAATATAATTATAAAAATGGAATATTCTCTACATAAAAATAAAGAATTGATGGTGTAAACTATTTACAAAAAAAAATCATTTCGGAGTCAAATATAAAATTGATGATGTAAGCTACTTATTTACAAAAAAAAACATCAATAAAAAAATTAATTAAAATAAAAATTATTTAAAAATGTTTTGCTAAAGCTGATGAAGAATTTTCTTCCACCATTATTTTAAGAAATTCTTCATATTCTGCTTCATCTAATTCAGTTAAACCCATGCTTAAACATACTGGAGGATCAGTAGCAGCTTCTTTTGGAGTGACGTATTTTTTGCCTTAGAGTGATCTGATAGATTTCTTCATTTTAACTTTATCTTCATCTTTTTTTTTGTTTTTCTTTAACACATTTGTGTTCAAATAAAAGCTTCGCCTCATATTTTTCAAGAGCTGATTCATAAGGTGCATTCCAAGCACATTTCTTATCTGTTCACGTAATATCTTTGAAATCTTCAAAGTTATTTCTGTAAGTACAGAATAATAGAATCAATAATTTAATAAATATTTAATAATTTTAGAGTTTATTGATTAACAAGAAAGAAAGATAAAGTCATAATTACCGGTTACAAAATAAAAGTACTGCCACAATATGTTTGCAAGTACTTCCCAATCCAGCCTTGCAAGAGCATTCCATACTAATTATTTTTCCGTTCTTTGAGATTTGAGCATTTATTTAATGAGGTTAATTTCTTAAACCAGCTGTTTGTAAGCAAAAAGCAAGAATATGATAAACATCACTGTCATCACTATGATTCACTTTCCACAATTCAATAAATGACCACAATCAATAATATTTTCTTCATCAATAAAATTCTTGCTAGCAGCTGTAGCTGAAGTAAATTTACAAATTTCTTGTAAGTTTACACGCATTTTTAATTAAATTTTGGTCACACGCAATTTTTAATTTAATTTTATATCCTATCTACACGTTTATTTACAAGCATCAGCTGTATCCAGAATCCTACAATCGTTAGTTTACTTTTTAACCACCAGACGGCCAAAAATTAAGCCACGCCTCTCCCACGGATCCCAATATCTGAGTTGAAAAATACATCAGACATGAACAGATATAGTCATATCTGATCAGATCTAAACAGATATAACTATATCTAGGTTGATAAATACATTAGACATGATCATATCTAGTCATATCTGATCAGATCTAAACAGATATAACTATATCTGAGTGGAAAAATACATCAGACATAATCAGATTTAGTCATATCTGATCAGATCTAAACAGATATAACTATATCTAGGTTGAAAAAAAAATCAGACATAAAAAGATTTTATTATATCTGGCCAGATATAACTATATTTGTTAACTATTAATAAATACTTATAAACTATTTTACTAAATATACTTTTCTCCCAAATAAATATTAATTGAATGTTAAAAAATATTTATTAGAATTTAATAAATTAAATAATTGTTTTCGAATAAATTAATTTGTTAATAGTTAATAAATCTTCCCATCAGCGTATATTGATAATTAATAATTTGCAATAAATTTGATTTTTTTTTTTTTTTTTATGAAAATAATTCTATATAATTGTATATAATTATATATGGCCATTTTTCGTTTATAATTATGTATGAGTATATATAATTATATATAATCATTTTTACCAGGGCAATTTTAAAATTTGACCAGATCTGGTCAGATCTGATTATATCTGGCCAGATCTCGTCAGATAGAGACAATTTAAAGATCTGGCCAGATCTGTTTATATATGGCCAGATCTAATCCGTTTTTCCCGGGTTTTGGTAAAAAATTACTTGATTTTTATGTTGATAATCGATATATTGAAACAATATTATAATAATGATACACACAAAAAACAAATTTCTTGTGCCAAAAAAATTTTAAGGAGAACAAAAGTTATTTTGGAGCAAGAAAAAATTTTCTTGGCTCAAAAAAATTTTCTTGACTCAAGAAACTTTAACTTTATTCAAAAAATTTTCAATCTTCCTTAATATTTTCTTGAGCCAAGAAAATTTACACTCTAGTCAAGAATTTTTTTTTCAGTGTAGTTTATTTAGCTTTTGGTAAAAAATTACTTGATTTTTATATTGATAATCAATATATTGGTGTGCAGCGAAAAAGATATTTTTTTAGTAATTTTGAGTAAAATATTACACTAATAAAAAAATTAATTTGACTCAAAAAATCTTGAACCAAAAATACTATTTTGAAGAAAATGATTCTCTTAAGTCAAGAGAATAAATTCTTAAGACAAGAAAAATTTACTTGAATCAAGAATAATTTCTTGATTTAAAATGATATTCTTGGTTCAAGATTTTGGCTCTTGAGTCAAATTAATTTTTTATCAGTGTAGAAATATAATAAATATTTTGGAAAGATGAATTGAGAAAAAAATTTTTAAATAAAAAAAAAAAAATTAATTATTTATGGATAAAAAATCTAAGTTGATTTAAGAAAAAAAATTTTTAAAGGTTTGATAAATATATTAAAAAATCTTTTTGATAAATATTTTTTTTTTTTTTAATTTGTTTAAAGTCGCATAAACTACTAAGGTCATGAGCGACTACGGTAGGGGGTACACTTTTGAGATTGGAACTCGTTTGTATTTCTTGGGCTGAGCAGAATAATATACACTTAAATATTGAAAATATTCATTGGTGTACGCAGGATTCGAACCCTGTCCAATGCTTTGGTAGCAAGGGCCGGATCCGATAGGCTACTGCGCGCCTCTGAAAAATATTGAATTAAAAAAAATTAAAATAAAATGTGTTTCATCGGACAATAGTTGTCTAAGTGATTTTAATTATGATTATTAAACAATGTTATCTAAAAAATAGATCAAATTAGATTTCGATCACTCTCTATTCGTGATGATTAATTTTTTAATCGTACGCGTTCTTATCTAAGAACTCGATATTCGATAGATTGTGTTTTTAAACATCAAAATAAGTCAAATTTATTTTTAACAATGACTTAAGAGTAAATATAGAGAATTGTTTTTTTAAAAAGTCACGAATGTTAGTTTTTTAATATAAATTATTGACACTGAAAATAAATATTAAGAAAATATTCCCAAAAAATAATCTTCCAAGTTGGTTTAAATTTTATTTAAAAATCACAAGTGACTATTTTTTCACAAAAAAAAAAATAATCAAAAACTGTCAAATGTCAATTGTTACTTTTAGTACTATCACTCACATAAAAATAATTATCAATAATTTCAATTTTAGCAAAAAAAAATTATTTTTAATTTTTTCTAGGTCATAAATAATTAAATTAAAAAATTTTTAATAAAAATTTTTATAACGCTCAATAAGCAGGCACTCGACTGCTTTTTATTTATACTTTTTTTAATTTCCAATAAATTTTTAAATTATTATTTTCCAATAATTAATTATCGGAAAACCTAAAAGTTATGAAAAGTAAATTATTACTTTCAGTACCACAGATGACTAAATTCTAAAAATTTTATAAAAAAAAACTCTGATGAGTACAAAGTAACTCCATTTTTGTCAATTGTTTTTAGTTAATTTAATTATAGTTTATAAATTTTTATTGAGTAATTAAAAAAAAAAGATATTTGTCATTTTTTGTGCCCGAAATTCGGGATGAATTTTGACTAAATTTAAATATTTAAATTTTTAACTTCTAAAAAAAAATTTATAATTTAATTATACTAAAAAAAAAGTGAATTGATTTAAGAAAAAAAATCTATTGTCAAAAAAATAATATTGAAGAATTTTATTATCTTGAATTAAGTTAAATTTACTTTAATAAACAATGACATTAAGGTTAGCAGTCAGTTGACAATTTTTTAATTTTATTCAACAAACAAATCTGTTCTAGAAAATTGTTTTTAAAAAATTGCATTTATAATTTTTAAAAATTTCTACATATCAATTTTTTTTCTCACTTTTTTTAAAGTAATTAATTTTTTAAAAATATTCTAAAAATTATTAAATATCTGCTACATTAATCTTCATCAATAAAAAAATATTTCTCAGCTCAATAATTTTTTCTACTTAAATTAAGACCATGTAGTTTTTAAAAATCACTTGATTCAAATAATTTTTTTTCTGTCTTAAATATATAAAAAAAAAAACTCACCGAATTCTGGTCTCGCCAAAGAAGTCAACCTTGGTCTTCTTCTTGACAATAGCCTGGGGTAAATGCAGAGGACTGATGCTGGTCTCGCTGGTAGCCGGAGGAGAACTCGAACCATTGCTCGAAGACAAGGATCCAGCTCTTCCTCGAAGATTCTCAATCATCTGAGCTTCAGAAACATTTCCACTGCGAATATTGACATGTCCATTATGATTAGCAGACGGAGGACCCGCAGAGACAGCCAAACTAGGCCTGGTGTTCTGCCTGTTGCGGCGCTTCTTCTTCTTGGTCTCAATTTCTTCAGCACGAGTTCCAGTTAAGCTTCCAAACCCGACCGGAGGGATCCAGTCCAGGTCTTTTTTAAGATGCCCTCTTCCGCAGCGACATCCACAAGCCTTAAAGGCCAAATCATAGCCTTTCTTGGTCCAGAGATTCTGGTGCCTCTGTCGCTCGGACCAGCTGCGAGCTCTTCCGCAGTTCTTCAGGTAAGTCAGAAGAGTCTGCTCCCAGGCGTCGAAGCACTCTCGGTGCATATACTGCCCCATTGGACATGTCTCATTGTTGCAGATAACTTTTACCACATCCTGCAGCGAGTTGGACCGTATCAGCGCGTTCGCGCGTAAACATTCGCCACTTGGAGCACAGCAGCGAGCTACATTATTATTGTTATTATTATTATTATTAATATTACTACTACAAGTACTATTACTAGAATTATTATTATTACTGGTGTTACTGCTGTTATTGCTGCTGGATGTAAGCTGCTGATGATTTACCAAATTTTCCATCTGCGTCTCGTCATTACCAGCTATCTCCAGGAGACTATGGCTGTTACCCGCGTGTCTTCTTGGAGCCATGTCTACCTCAACTCACTCAAGACACTTTGTTGTTATTCACTTTGTTGTTACTATGTACAGCCTTAAAATAAACAAACCAAACCAATTTATTAATTTATTTTCTTTTGATGTTTTTTTTTTTTTGGTAATTATTTTTAATTAATAAACTTTTAAAAATTCAAATTTTGCGGGTTTATTTTTAAATTAATAAACTTTTGAAATTTTAAATTTCGCGGGTTTATTTTCAATTAATTTTAAAAATTCAAATTTCGCGGGTTTATTTTTAAATTTTTAAAATTCAAATTTCGCGGGTTTATTACCACGCATTGTCCACCATTGTTTTTAAATTAAATTTAGTTTATATTTTTTTTTTTTGATATGTATCATATAAAACTCACTTACATTTACAATTATAAAATTCACTTTATAATTAATATAAAAACTTATAACTTAAGTTTTCAAAAAAAAAAAAAAAACAAACACAAAATTATTCTTTAAAGTTTTAAAAAATTCCGCACACCACAACAAAAACACACAGTATTTTTTTAGTTTAAAAATTTTTAAGTTTAATTTATAAAAGTTATTTTTTTTATTTGAAAATAAAAAAAAAACAGTAATTATAACAATAAAAAAATAATTATTATTTCTTGAAGCAAGGTATAGTAGTTCAATGTAAAGCGCGCAATTGTGACTAAACTGTGAGAGCACAGCAGACACGTTGTATACCCGGCACTGGAGCTGATTGTAGCATGTCGCTCGAACTTGGAGCACGAAAGTGAACTCTAGCGATTGAAAGCGAAAACTGCTGGTGGGGGTCAGAACTTGCCCGCCATCCCGCCAATCGATGTCGTCTGTTAGAAACGCGGTCTTTGTCAAGCATTACTTCTTCTCTCAAGCTCTCTTCGTTGTTTCACTACTACGCAATACTCTACACTCTATACTCTATACTATACTATCTACAGCTAACTCTGCTCCGCACCGCACACACACGCGCGCTGTCTGCTGGTGAGTAGTAAACACACCCACTGAGACTGGGGAGCGTGTGTGAGCAGACGCGACTTCGCCATCTTTGTCTTTCTCGTTGACTGGCGGGTTCTCACTCTCGATCTCCCGCTCTTGCTGGCACGTTTCAATCCAAAGTAAATATAAATAGAAACAAAAATATTTCTGCGATCCGATTTATGAAAAAAAATTTTAACGGTTTTAATATGCAGTTTTTTTTTTTAAATTATTATTATTATATTCGCTGCCAGATTAGGTAATTTTATTTTATTATATATTATATGATGTTTTTATGTGGCGGTGTTATGTATATTATGTGAATTTAATCGCGAGGATAGTAAACACCATTTTAGGTCTAATGTAATCGCGGAAATGTCTTATCAGCACTATTTATGTAATTGATGATTTTTGTTAGGTTTGTTACAGTGATTTTTTACCCTGAGATAATCCAGGAGACAACAAGTGTGTCAAGTTCATTGTCAGTGCAGCTATGAATTGGTAAGTACCAAACAGCGAGTTACAAAGTAACATTTTTGTTAATTTTTTAGTATTATGAAATTAGCAGACGTCTAAAAATTTTTGATTTTTTTTTAAATTAAATTACAACTAAAAAAAGATTTATAAAAAATTGCACTTGTGGTTTTTCAAGTTTTTTACATGTGAAATTCTTTTTTTAATTATTTAATTGAAATTTCTTCAATAAAAAATTTTTAAAAATTAAATTTAATTAATAATAATAAATCAAAAATTTTTAGACGTCTGCTAACTTTAGTGTTGTTAATTTTTTTTGGTTAGATTTAATTATTGTTTATAAATTTTTATTTAGTAATTAAAAAAAAGATATTTGTCATTTTTCATTGTTAGTATATTGAGAAATGAGGGTGTTTAAGTATTTATAAATTTTAATTATATGAGCTGAAGTTCGGTGTCCGAAATTTGGGATGCATTTTTACAAAATTATTTTTATTTATTATTTAATTATTTCAATTTTCAAATTATTACTTAAATTTTTAAATTATTTTGATTTTCAACTACTAAAAAAAATGTGAATTGATATATTGTAAGAAAAAAAATCTTTTAAATTTTTTTTCTGTGTAATGAAGGTATTGAAAAAATTTTCTATATTTTTGTTAATTTATTTAATAAATAGTAATGAATAATTCGTAACATTTTAATAAAATTCTTTGGAAAATTAATAATGAAAAATATTTTCTAAAGTCATTTAGTAAATTAAAATTTTTAATTTTAGAATATTACACCCAAAAAAATTCATAAAAATTAACACGCACATTGTTTTTTGTCAAAATAATTTTTTTTAGATTATATCAGAAAATACATTTAAAAAAAAAAAAATTTTTAATTTCTATAATCATACTCATTTAAATAAATATTATGGATTATATAAAAAAAATCCTCAGTTATTATTTTAGCCTAAAAAAAAATTGACTTGATTCGAGAGAAAAATTCTTGAACCAAGAAAATAATTTTGAAGAGGGTAATTTTTTTGAATCAAGACGAAAAATCTTTAAATCAAGAAAAATTTATTCGAGATCGAGAATTTTTCTACTCAAATCAAGAAGATTAAGTTCTTCAAGATTATTCTCTTGATTCAAGAACATTTTTTTTCTGTGCGTGTTTTACATCCAGCTTTTGATGAGCTTTGAAATTTTACTTTATCCTCAGAAAAGTTCATAGTTCAACAAATCAGTGGAATTAAAATGTTGTGATCAATCCACCAGTTAAATTCTTCTTATACTTTCGCATATGCGAAGTCTGTCGCAAAAT